GTTGTCCACAATCGGTGACAATCAAAGCAGTGGCGATGATAACAAAGTGGAGCGCATTTGCGAGCGATTTGATTATCTCATTAGCAAATGGCAGACAAACCCCAAACTCATTGAATCACATGTGAAAGACTTCTTGGACGCCATCATCGAGAGTGTGTCGACCAGCGCTGCGGTCGATGGCCAACGATTCACCGCCGCCTTCACACTAATGCACCGTTTGGTGGCCTGTATTGGCCCGAAGTCTGTGCGCCGGTATTTGCCGACAGAAGTCCTGTGGTTATCAAAACTGGTCGAGTGGTGCGAACGCCAGACACCCGAAGACACTAAGTCGTGGCCGACGCGAGCGATGCTCTTGTTGTGGCTCTCGATGGCCGTCAAAACGCCGTTTAATTTAAAGAAATTTGACTCAAAAGCCGAGACAACGAGCGCTCAGAAGACTTTAGTGGAGCGGATCTATGCGCTGATCGATCGGTATCTGAAAGCGACCGATAAGAGCAGGGATTCGGCCGCCGTATTGGCCGCACATTTCTTCGCGCGACCCGATATTGTGGACCAATTGTTGGACCGTTTTATGAGCGAATCGTTGCCCCAATTGGGCACTAGTTTTGGTCACGTGATGGCTGTGGCAGTGCTGTTGAAAGTGGCCGACCGTCAGAACATCAGTCCGTTCGCCGAACGCGTGATCGAAGTGAGCGCCAAAATGGACACAACGGGTCGCGAACTGATGACCAAATGGAAAGTGAAACTTATCGGCCGATCGGCGCTGTCTTTGATGAGACCCCGGATCGCCAAATGGCGGTATAGACGCGGCAGACGTCAGTTGTCTCAAAACATATCGCTTCAGATGGCGGACCAAAAGCCGGCCGCCATTCAGTCGACGCATGAAAATGTATTTTTTAATTAAGTTATGTTTTGTTTACAACTTTTTTAATCAATTTCTTTGACAATTAAAAGACTGTCGAAGATCTGGAGGACGACTGCGATTACAGTGATATACCGGAACAGTTGGAAGTGATCATTGACTCCCTGTTGAACGCCTTACACCACGAGAACACAATAGTCCGCTGGTCTTCGGCTAAGTATTTGGGGCGACTCACGAACCGATTGCCTAAAGAAATGGCCGCCGAAGTGGTCGACAGTGTCTTAAAGCTGTGCGAATGGAAAGACTCGGACTCTTCATCGCACGGCTGTTGCCTAGCGTTAGCCGAACTCACCCGCAGAGGCCTTATACTGACGGATCAGTTGCCACAAGTGGTAGACGTTGTTCAGAAAGCGTTGCTTTTTGACGAATTGAAAGGTATTTCAGACAAAGTGTTGTCACGTTTTTATTGACAATTATCTTAATCTTAGGTACGTTTTCCATCGGATCCAACGTAAGAGACGCCGCGTGTTATGTGTGTTGGTCTCTCTCCCGTGCGTACGACTCGCAAGTGATTCAACAGTTTGTCCACCGATTGGCGCCGACTCTCGTATGTGTCGTGTGTTTCGACCGTCAGGTGAACTGCCGAAGAGCCGCCTCCGCAGCCATTCAGGAGTTTGTCGGCCGAACGCAAGTGTTTCCGCACGGACTGGAAGTGTTGCTGTTGACTGACTTTCACGCGTTGGCCACAAGAAGTCACTGTTATTTAGATATCGCCTTCAAATTGGCACAAAAGCCAGAGTTTGGCGATTGTCTGGTCCAACATCTGGTCGACAAATGCCAGCACTGGGACAGAGATGTACGCGAATTAGTGGCCCAATCGCTGGGATTGCTGTCCACTGTTATCGATATGAACCCCTATTTACCACAATTACTCGCAAAGAGCTTATCAATGGATCTGAACTCAAGACACGGCTCTATACTAGCGATCGGTCACATCATTGGCAGTGTTGGCGACAAAATAAGCCCAGAATTGAGGGAACAAATGGAATCAATTGCTGTGACTTTGAATGAGAAGAAACTCTTGAGAGGAATCGGCGGAGAGTTTATGAAACAGGCGTTGAGTGTATTGATAGAGAAGTGTTCGTCGGTTTCGCTGTCAATCAGTAGCGAATCCAAAGTGATTGACGTCTGGATTGATATCATCTGTAATGCGATTGTCAGCGAAGACCAGAAGACTCGCGGCGACGCTGTGGTAGCGCTTCCAGTGTTTTGCTATCAATATTTACGCAATCGACACGAACTTAAGACTAAAGTATTGGATCAGCTGTTGATTCACTTGAACTCAAGCAAAGAGAGCCCCAGAATTGGTTCGTCGATGTGTTTGCAGACAATGTCTTTGGAATTACTGGATGTCCAGTACTATAACACATGCTTTGAGATACTATTAGCGCACATCAGATCCGGCGACGAGTTGTGCGGTTCCCGGGCTTCAGAAGTGATCACTTTAGTTGAGTTGTCGTTGAAATTCCGTCCCATAGACGACAATAGGAGACAACAGATCGTTGACTGTCTTTGTCTGGCATTAGACGACCGGACGAAGGACTCGAGAGGCGATGTCGGCGGTACTGTCCGGTTGGCCGCCGTCGACGCCTCCCTTGCGTTCATCAATGAGGCCACTGATGGCCAAGTGATTGATGTCTTAAAACTGATGACAACTCAATGCGTAAGCGTTTGGCAAAAAGAGAGACACAAAGCCTTCAATGTGTTTAAAGAGATAGTCTTCGGCCGACAATTGGCTCAAATCGACAGACAATTTATGGAAACGCTGTTTGAGAGCACCGGCGACGAGAAGGCCGACCACTGGCGGCCATTCGTACGCCTATTAGACGTCCCGTTGTTTACGCATAACGTGTGGAAGGGTTTAGCGAAGAATGTCTCGAATCCGACCGAAACTTATGTCCGAAATCTACTCAAACAAGAGATCAAATCAATGGACGGCCGGGTNCGGCGTTCAGACCGACGATTACCGCCAATCGATGTCTTATTTAGTGATACTTCTGTGTCACGCGTTTCCCCGCATACGCACGCATACGGCTAACCAGACCTACGTTTCCCTATTGACCGCCGATGACAGTCCCGAAGAGGCGTTGGATTTGTTGACACAAACCGATTGGTCTCAGAGTTTGGATGTCTTGAGACCTATTAGGGATCAGATTTGCGATGCGCTCAATGTTGCGAAACCCAGACGTAAAGCTACCGGTGCTGACAATAGTGCTAAATAATTGTTTTAATTAATTTTAACATTATTTTATTTAATTGTGTATTTTTTTATTGAATAACACTTTAATTAATTAATATATAATTTGTGTAACTAATGAACGATTAATTAAATTGATTTATAAATAAATCATCCGGTTTTGTATACAACTGATTATAATATTGGTGTTCAACGTACTTACTATTAGTAAGTTGGAGTAGTAAAGCCAAGTGTCATCTCAATATTAAAATTATATTTTAATGATTAAATTAAGAATTATTAATCATTAAATTGAACATTAAGATCACGTTTGAAAATAT